GCTGTTGAGCATCAGAAATTCTAAGACCTAAAAAGAAATATTTGAGATGATGCAAAGAATGCTTTGGCTAGTCATGAAAGAGACGGAAAACACCAAGACTATGAGGGTAGAGTGTAAACTCACTTGGAAAACAGTCCTTTTCCCTAGTTGAGCTGCTATTCTGTTAACTGTGTGTGTCATACATAAGACCCAGAGGGAAATAAATCAAATACAGTTGTGGCAGGCAGCCTCTTAAGATGTTCCCCACTGATCCCAGGTTCCTGGTAGTCACATCCTTGTATAATCCCCTCCCTTTGTGCATGGACTAGACTTATCGACCCATTTTTAACAAACAGAACATTGCAGAAGTGATGGTATGTTGCTTCTGGGGTTAGGTTATGAATACTGTGGTGCTCTCTTACTTTTTTGGTTCACTCATCTTGGGCCAAGCCAGTGTGTCATGAGGCAGTGCTGGAGAGAGGCCCATGTGGTAAGGGAACAAAGCTTGCCAAAAATTAACTGAATGAGCTTGGAAGCTGATTCCCCTGCCCCTATTTGAGCCTTCAGATAAGACCATAGCCCCAACCAGTGGCTAGACTGTCTTCTCATGAGACAACTTGAGCCAGAAACACCTAGTTTAGCCATACTCAGATTCATGACCCACAGAAACTGATGATGTTTGTGATTTTAAATTTATAAGTGCTGGGTAATCTGCAAGGAATTCTGATGGCGTAGTGCCTAAGGCATTTGACTGCTAACTAGAAAGTTGGCAGTTCAAACCCACCAGCCACTACGTGGAAGGAAGACTGAGCAATCTACTTCCATAAAGGTTTACCACCTCAGAAACCCAAAGGAGGTTGCATGAGTTGGAATCGAATCGATGGCAGGGAGGTTTTTTTTTTTTTTTTTTTTGGTTGAATAATTTTCTATAAATCACTATATACCTAATACAGGTATATTCATAGAAGATATTATGCAGGCCTTTTCACAATCAACTGCACTAATCTGAATTATTCCTGTAGTAAGACTACTAGTTTTCACTATCTGCTATATTCATGGAAATGAATCAACACTTCAAGGCAGACATTTTATTTATTACATGTCATGTGTTATAAATCTAGCAGGTCTTCAGTTAATCTTTATTTTGTGAATTATCTCTCTCCCTGTAAACACCACATAATAGGACAAACCTTCTGTGCATCCATTATCCAGTACTATTTGTTGCAGAGAGCTACCAGGGCTAGGAGGTGTCCATTTATCTGTTATTGGATCATTTTAGTCTTTATTAATCTATCTTTACAAGTTATGTTGTAGGTTTTATTAGGAGACAAAGGTCACCACTTTTCCTCCCCCAAGAAACAAAAAACTGTAGAATTGTGACTGTAAGCCAAGAGGAGAATCCAAACTAGACCATACCAATACTACTCAGGACATGTAGTTATTTATTTTCAGGGCAGTGGGATACATTCTGACATACCCATGAGATGAAAATCATGATACATCACTGAAGAGGAAGACATGAGACAAAAAGGTAATGCCACAGAATTCTAGAGATAAAACTGCAAGTTGGACTTGAGGAACAACTGAAATAAACTAAGAAATTATATGCACATAAGACCAGTTCAGCATCTGCCATACAGTTTAACTATTTGTTATTTAATTTGTTACTCATTAAATAATTTGAGAACCTACAAAGTGCTTAGTGGTGTGCCAGTCATGGTGGGGATAGAAAGGAAGTACTGACACTGTCCTTTCCCTCAAGAACACTACTATTAACTGTGAGGGAAATTACATAAAAACCAATTAGAGACCCAGAAGGCAACATGTAATACATTGCAAATAATA